TTGTCGACCAGTGAGCTTGATGGTGGTAATGGTTGCAGCGGATACAAAGGCAGCGAGTAAGATGAGCGCATTGCGCATGCTATGGGGCGGGTTGGGGTCGCGTAGTTTATCAGATACTGGGGAAAGGTTAGTGACACTGGACATAAGACTAAAGACTCGACTGACCAATGACAAAGATCAAGGTCCACAAGTTGCCGCTCATCCAGAGCAAGGCTGAGCTGACCTCGGCGTTTCTCGTGACCTCACATCCGAGCTCAAGCCCGACAGGGAGGAGCAAGAACCCAAGGACACCAATGAGGCCAGCTAGGACAAAGATCGGTATGGAGTTGTTGGGGCGAACGGCAAAGATGAGACCGATCCAGCATCCAGCCATAGGTGGAAGAACGAAGCGGACTGTCACCGCCAGGTGATGCGTCAAAACACGGTCGAAGAGCGGCGAGGTGATGAGGCCGGCCAGGAGACCTAGAAGGAGCAGGGCGGCCCCAATGAACCCAGCCGTCTCTTCCGAATATCCAACGGGTGCCTAAATCATCCGTTCATGTGAGCATTAACCCAGATATGGTCAATAAGTTTACATACAAACTGTCAAAGATTATGAGCGGCCGGCACGCGACGTCGAAAAGGGAAAATTTTACGTACAATCTGGTTAGTCAGAATGGAGAATGAACTAATGCATCCAACCAATACTCCGAAAACAATAACAAGTATTGCAAAGTCGATTTTCTCCGTCCTGGTGAATGAGAGATTCTCCTCTTCGCCCGTCTTCTGGCGGCCGAACAAGGCCAAGATCGTCCTGAGGAAGGGTGGGGAACGGCGGGAACCGGCATACGCTTAACCGGGGAATAGACAAAATGTTAGCCGTCGAGGAACACCTCATGCAACCAGAAGGAGGGTATCTGATCGATATTATAGAAAAAGGACCTACTTGGTGGCGTGGGAGGGGCATCTTGGATCAAGATCACAAGTCCCAAGCATGCTGTAGTGGCAATCGCAAGCACAAGTACCTGAACAGGGACAATGAGAAGATAAAGTCTGACAGTAGGAGAGCTCCGTACAGATACTCGTGGGTTTGACATGAAGGGGGGCAATAATTGTCCGAGCGCACTTCCTACAGGGTTCGCTGATAGACTGTGTGAGATCTGCCGTCGGATCATTTAGACCAAATTCGTACCAACTGCAATGACCATAGTAGCCGTAGTCCTCGCCTTGAGGTCGAACCAGGTCTCTGAGAATTTGGGGCCTAGTACTTGGAAGACTGGTTGAGCAATACCCGCAAAGATCTGTAAGAGATGTATTAACGGGCGCCGTAGGGTGATAGCCGAAACTAGGTAACCCACCTGAGCGATGATCAGAAGGGCATAGGCCCCCTCATTGGACAAGGACTTTGCCGTCCCCGCATATCGGATCCAAGAGGCGAGTAGCAAGCAAACTGCTGCTGATATGCACTATAGAGGAGTGAACACGAGAAATGACCATAATAAGTCGAGCATACTGTGGTTCGGATTCCAAGTCTTTGGATCAAGGTGGGGATCGCCAGGGCCATGGGGAGGTAGACTAGATTGACCGTCTGACTGAGCCAATTGACCTGTGTCAAGGAGATGCCAAAGGCATCAGCAGCTTCACATCGTTGAGCGACTTGTTATCTATCAGAATGACGAGAGACCTACTGTCGTTGGCGATTGCACTAAACCAGATCCTAGAACGCTAGTTCAGGTCTCCCCACGACGCGAATTTATGCGCACACTCACCAGTTCATGGCTGCTACAATGTTGAGAACGACCTAGCGAACGGTTCATAAGAGCGCGCAGTTAGAGTTATAGAGCTAATCGTACCATTCCCACTACGGTACCGAATGATATCAGCATGTCACACTACCCGTCTGGTGTGTTCACTCACATAATCCTAACCATCTTCTCTTGTATAGTTTGTAGACTGGAGAGGAACTACGTGCTTGCTCGCTCATCGCATAGCGTTGGTCGTCCGTAAGTGGAAAGAGGACGCTGTCGGCCTTCTTCTCGATGACCGGCTCAGTCCTAATCAGCTCGGAGAGATTGGATTTCTTTCTGTCGAGCTTTTCGGATCCCTTGGAAGAGGTATTGGTGGCCATGTACCTCCAAACGGTCGATAAGGTCGGGAGAGAAAGAAAAGGAAGGAGAAGGAGAAAGAAGTGTTTAAAGGCGAACCAGATTTAGTCGAGGAAGGGCCGATGGTTCTTGTAGAGAATCAATATTATCAGCAGCATGCGCACAAAGAGGCTACATGAAAAAATAAACAGCGAGATTGTTGAAGGGAGAGGCCGTTGCTCTCCATACGGCTCAACTTCGACATCCAAATTGTATCGCCGGTTCGCCGCTGCACCACCGGGGCCACGGCTCCTGGTTGTTGCACTACGTTCCCATGTGCTACCAGTTCAGGAAGGGCCGCTAAGGAGTTGACTATTTGAGCTGTTTGGATTCAGTCGTGGGCGGGAGCAAGCTGCGCAAGAGGCGGGAGCAGGAGCGTCCTTGTCAGTTCAGCCAGCGACCGTCGGACGCCAGTCTGAAAAGAGCAAACATGGTGTTTCATCTACAAACCAGACTTTTAAAGCAATTTCATAATACTTATTTATAGACTTAATTTTTGAACGATTTTTTTTTTTGCTAGGGGCCATCACAGTCACGTTCGTGGTGCGTGGTGGGACCCCAGCCACCTGTATCTTGGCTTTCGACCATAACAATGTCCTCCACAAAATCCCTCCAGCCAAACCCCAACATGCGCGTCTACGTCGACGTTCCAGTACCCAAAGACAAAAAACAGCGCTTAATCATCGCCGA